AAAAAAATTAAATTAAAAAAAAAAAAAGTATTTATCACGTTTGTCTATTAGGCAATTGATTATTACTAACAATAATACTGCAGAAAATTTCAATTATAAGGGTACTAAAAATATATAATACTTTTACTATGTCAGATACTTGATTAGCAATTAATTTTTCACGTAATCACGAATATTACTTTAACTATAAGATATGCTTAATAATACATGTGTGTCTTTTAATGATGAAATAATGTAATAGAGAAAAATGATTTTTCAGAAAGTTGTTCAAAATTCAGTAGACGAACTATTAAATTAAAAGGGATTTATTCTCTCCTTTATATACCCACTTTATTAATAGCTGAAACGTTAATTAGAATAATATTCATAAATAAAATGTTTGCGTCAGATTACATATTCAATAATAACTTAAAGCACATGAATTTGATTTCACATATGAATGAGTGACTGAGGAAAATCCGTCTGTCGACGGCCAACGTAATAATCATTTCTAAGCGATCGTTAATACAAGAATATTTTTCTCTTCGACAGATATTGCGTTAGATCCTTAAATATTTTATGAGACCAGGCAAAATTACTACTTATTAACGCTTTTGTTATTTTTCACATTTGATACGACCAATCGGCCGTTAATAATTAGCGAAACCAATCATTTTTCATTTGGTTGTTCTAATTTTATAAAATTCAAAATAGAATTTTATAATGCCGAGTGTGCATTGCAATGTTTATTGCGCCCAACTTTGGTCTACCAAGTAAGATTATTCAATGACTGGGTAAATTAAGGATCAGTTTGTTGGCCGCTATTAAATGTTGAAAGTAAGAATAATAAAATTGCTCATTTCGTCGTCAATCGGAGTAATAATATTTCTAGCTTTCATATTTTATCGAACAAAAGAAGAGAGATGAAAGAATAAACGAGAAATAAGAAAGAAATTCGTTTATTGGAAAGTATAATTCATATGCCAACTTTACAAAGTTTGAGAGGTCTGAGAATCGTAATTAGGTAGAGCGAGAGTAAGGATCTGAAATCTTGTTATTCGTTAAATTTCAACGAGCAGCGCAATTTCAGATATTAAAATAATCGTCGAAATATTTAAAGCGGAAATTCGCGATGTAACTACGATCCACTGTGCACTTTCCTTATGCATAATTGTTTTTGGCGCTTTCGCATCGAAAATGGTAAACGTCGGGGCTCGATCATTAATGATGATGAATGTGATTTTGCGGGGCCGATGTGCTGATGGATTTGCATAAAGGAGAGCAAAAGCGCGCCAATATAGAAAGGAAAAGTAGAAAGCACGCTAATCGGATTTAACGTACACCCGCCCGTAACGGATGATCCACGATGGCCGCCACAGTTTTCTACCTAACAATCGAAAGTGCGCTACGCACGCATCCATAAAACCAGACGACTCTCGCTCTCCTTTTATCCATGGCGTTTTCACCAGCAATTTTCCGGCGCATCGTTTCTCCGTTATCCATCCATCGTTAGTCGATTTCGTCGATCGGCCGGGCAATCGATCAGCGACTAGCGCCTCGTTAAAGGACTTGCACGTGCGTGTATCATACTGGGCCGTGTCCAATGTGTGAAAGTGGCAAACGGTGTTATGGTGAAACCGCGGCGTCCATTTCTTTGAACTTCGGTATTTTTCGCCTCGTTTACCTTCGCCTCCTGGCGCTGATATACCAATCGCGATTTGCTTAATTAAGCTCGTTACGCGTGTGCGCTGATTGAATTAAAGCGCTCGGTCATTTGGATTAGTAAGCGCGACCGTTAATGACCTGTTATAAGAAATTACACCGGCAGGTTTTTAATTATTAGATCCCCGTGATTAAAGAGTGAATATTTCTCTCAGTGCCCGTATTGCTTTATCAGTGTTACGCAGTGCTATAAAGCTAACGAGCGCTGAGGTATAAAAATTTCTTTTACTATTAACTAAATGTTAATTTTGAGGAAACTATGGAGAAACGATAATTTGCGAAGAATGTAGCGAATATTTTAAATACTATTCCATTTCATTGGCTATTATTTTTTTTACTGTAAATATCTGTAGTATACATAAAACAAAATAATATTCTGTCCATATTATTATGATATATCAGCCTTTGATTATTAATTGAAAAATATTTATAAGAGAAAAAGTTTTTAATGGAAAACCTTGGATTTAATGGTGTCATAAAAACTAAGTAAAAATAACTTCTTGCACGTGAAAAATGCTGCTAGTAATACGACTTGTAAATTCGCAGATTCATGAACGAAGCCCAATTAGACTAATAGCATTAAAGATGCTCGTTACAAAAAATAAACGAGCGAGTTCATGATTATTACGAGACAAAATTGTCAATGATTTGGCAAAAGGGCAAATAGAAATATCAACCCTAACTTTATAAATTATCGAGTGGCATTAACGCTCGAGTAAAATAAAATTATATCTCGTATTGTCGATGGGAAAAGGAACGGGAAAATTCAAAACCAACAAAGTAAGGAAATTCCAAAATAATGAATAATTTTACTTGCATTCGTATGTTGCGCTATGAAATATGTATGTATATATATTTACAAAATATCTTATATAAATTTATAAAAGTCAGAAATGTTTCGCGCTCGATTTCATCCCCGATCGCAAACGTAAATTTGCAATAAACAAAAATAAATTTCATCAGTTGTAAAACTGTTCGCGAATTCTATCTCATTTGCTTCGACAAAATTACTGACCATCAAGCAACAGAGACGCGATGACGCTCGATTCATTGTTAAATCTATTTTAACGTTAATGCCATCCGTTCACTTTAATGCCAGTAATTCTGAGTTTATTACGATCTGCGTAACGCATCGTCGAACTCAAGCGAGTTCTGGCAATTTTTTTATTTACCCGCTTGCACGAAGATTTTAAATAATGCCGTTTCCTATGAGAAACGTTACTTTGTCGGTTATCAGATATTTTAGTACTTTTTTCAAAGTTATTTTAAGTCGTGAAGTTTAAGTAATTGGATAGTGTCGAAACTAATATATATATATATATATATATATATATATATATATATATATATACATAAGGATGGGCGCTTTTTAAGTGTATAAAATATTAAATCTCTTCGATATTAGCAGAATTTATTGTCTTATACTGCACGTATTGCGTCTTATGTATACATTTGTAGAATCATTCTATTATTCATCGTTTCTCAGATATTAGAATTCGATATTAAGCTTTTATCGCTACTTCCAAGCTTTTATTTACACATACGGAAAGATTAAATTTTATAAACACTAACCAATAGACTTTAATAGAGACGTAATTTAAAATTCCAAGAGAATTTGAAAATATTCATTACCACCGCATCAATATCATTTACAATGCCATTCGAGAAAGCTGCACTTAAATCATCGTATGTTAAACGCGAATAGCAGCAGCATTGGCTCTCGGTGCAGCTGACTCTCGGCTTCGTGGAAACTCCCATCATACGCGCAAGTTGGTAAAACATGTGACTACTATCTTATTGCGACAGCCCTTTCTTCGCGAAAGAACAAAAGCGCCGAACTGAGGAAACCTTCCTCTGGCGACCGAACTCCGGGACATCATCACCAGAGACGATTTACCGACGTGGGGAGGCTCCATCAAAGTCCATGAAAGTGCAACTCACCGCAACAGGATTTGCCGAAGTCGAGGCGCACTAGCTGCACCATGTAGGGCTCGAGTAGGTTGACGTACCACCAGGGCCGGGGCTCGAGTGTCGTCAGTGTGCAGGTCTGCGGCGAGTAGACCTGAGCACTGCTCCCGTCGACGGCGAGCTGGGGGATGCCGCTATCCGCCCGACTTGACTGCATCGGCGCTTTTCCCGCTGCCACGTTCAACACTGCAATGTATGAAAAAGAGAGGAGAAATTAGATTTGTATCACTGATACAAACGATTCGTTAATGGATTTTTTTCCCCGAACATTCACTGGAATTATCACCAGAATTTACGTATATCGATATGGCTTACGTACGAAATGCCGAGGATCCTCAAATTAAACCGCTTATTTAATAATCTACATGCTCAAATATTGAAATTTCAGATAATATAGTTGAGCAATGAGATACGAGGTGCCTCTCAACTGAACACGTACATTGGCTTTGTACGCTGTACAAAAAATTTCAATTAAATAAAGACTTTTCAATATGTATAGGTGCACAAATTATTAATCAATCGAATATAGATCAAACTTGAAGTAATAGCGATTCAAAATTTTAACCCAATCCAAACTTGCGAATTTTTTCAGCCAGAGTGAAGCTTAAAAATAAAAATAATTTATTCGCGCTCATCTGCCTTTCGTATCATTCATATTTATGACACGCAATAAACTTCACGAAGTGGCATTATTTGATATTATAATTGGATTTATAAGAAATGTAACATTCAAAATAACTTGAGAATTGACATGAAATACAAAGATATATTTATGCTTATTAAAAGTAATAGTACATATTTTTTAATATTAACATTTATAAAAATGTTTTCACTGCATGTTTCACTACATGTAAAGCGAGTAATAATTGTGTAAAATGAAAATTTTACTGTAAACTGATAGGTAATAAAAATCCATTCTAGCAAAAATTCCACAAATATGCAAAAAGTGCAGTAAAATTGTCATTATTAATTTATTATCGAATAAAATTTATTGGACTTGAGTGAGTTATTATTTTGTGATATGAAAATTTCTGATGAAATACTCATATTTCAATTTATTTATTTATAGCATAATTTGTAGTCAAATGTACACAATAAATGTTAAAAAAAAAACAAAAAAAAAACAAAACAAAAATAGTATTAAGACTACTAAAATGAACAAAATTTTTAAATAAAAAAAAAATTGACCCACTTATTGATGTGAAAAAAATGAATATAAAATTTTAATTTCATGTACTGTAATATGTGAAATAATTTCTTTATTATTGCATTTAAATAAAAAATTACTTGACATTTCATTAATTTCTTTTTTTAACTTCTATTTATAACAACAATTTTGTTGAAAAAATTAAAATTTTAACCAAGTTTTTAATTTAATGTAGATGCCTTATTAATTATTATCTTATGTAGCAAATATCAAACGAAACATTATAGTTGTAAATAATTAATTTCTTACTCAATCTCTCAATGTGTATATTTGTTCACACTGGATACTACATGAAAAAGATTTATACATAAAAGTATAAATCGTTATCAAAGGTATTCCTATAAATATTTATTTATTTATTATGTTTGCGAATACAATGAGAACACTAATGTATATAACTATCATTGCCATTATCATTATTCACTTCGTACGTAATAAATTATGAATTGTGAAAAAGTCAAGAAAAATGTTAGTATAATATTCGATAGATTTAATAATATAAGATAGATTTTTCAATGAGTTTTGATGTATTTTATTTTATGCTTATTGATTAAATCGATTTTACAAACAAAATAGATAAATGTTTTCCTTTAAAATAATGTTAAAATCAATATATGTTTTAATATTTAATAACCATTAGTTATATAGTATTCCACGAAATGACCTGTTTCTGCTTATACAAGAAACATTAAATTCTTCAAAATTATAAATTACGCTTACTTTGATATAGTTTAAAATATGTTGCGATGGTATTAACTTTTATATCTATCGAGAAACATACAAGAAACTTTAATAAGCAACTTAATATAAAACAATTATAGACAAATTCCGTTTCACTGAATTACAAGAAATAAAGATATCAATTTATTATTTTATAAAGATACCATGAATATATCAAAGGAATTCGAGGTATGGGAATGAAAGAAGTAATTCGAGGAGAAGTAATAAATGGTAAAATTTAGCACACCCTAAAATAAATCATAAATCAGAAAAATAACTGTCTTCCTGATTACTCAAACGAGTTTTTCCTTTAAAATAAAATGGAAGGAAAGAAAAACCTCCTCTAACTCAAATATTTCAAGATACACACATGCAAATCATGCGAGTCATGAAATAATGATGTCCAGAGTGTAACATCTGCAAAACTTGTTTCTCGTTTCTACAAGTGCTTAAGGAACAGGAATGAGCACTATCTGGTTAATTTAAATCCTATGTTTGCTCTATTAGCACATCGTTATATTTTATATTATACGCCAGATTTATTGTTCTTGAAAAATTATATCGAATAATTTTTCTTTTTTTTCTTTCGATAAATTAATTTATAAGTGAATAGCGAAGGAATGATGAGAGTAATTTTAGATAAACGCATTACAAAATTTATTAGATTTAATGTTACCGTGTAGTCATTCAAGATGTTCTTTCATCTTTATTAATAAAAAAACGTTAATTAGAATCAATTGTAAGTATTGTCGTGAATTTCACTTTTTCGATACAAAGTTCAAAAATGTAATATTTATTAGCACATCATTTTTATTTTACATGCTACAATAAAATTCAAACTATAACGCTGTAATCAGTGATTATTAATTGATTTATGTGATTGATAAAATTCTTTAATTATTTATAAATAAAAAAAAAACATTTAGTCATTTTAATAATGCTGCTTTCATATGTACCGATAAATTTTCGTAAATGCCACGTAAATCAGCTTCACTATTTACAAAGAATTCATTATAATAAATATTTAATACTTTATGATTACTTATATTAATAAAAGTAATAAACATTACCTTTTGCCTTTATTGAAAAATGATATTCTTTTTACTGAAATGTATTTACGTAGATACGGAAATCAACTGTAAACCATATATTGCAAAGTAAAAGAATAAATTATGTTTATGTGTATACTGAGAAGTGTATTTAATATTTATCCATAGAAGTAACTGTATTCAAAGAGTAATAATCAGAACAGATATTTTATAGCGAAGAGATTGGAAAATAAATAGTTGATATAATAGATATTTGCTCTTAGAAAATCGGAAAAAATGTTTTTACATAAGTATGTTTTGGTAATAGAAAAAAAAAATTAATAAAGGTTGATAAGAAATTTTTTTAACGCATTGTATTCTCCGTTTGCTACTATTTTCTTTTTACTTACTAATATTTACGCTTACATATTTAGCAACATTCACATCTATATACATTCACGATTACTTGATCAAATCATAAATATATTAAGTTAGAAGATTTGAAATAACGTCAAATTATTATTAGAATAAAAGTTAATTAAAAAAGATTTATTATATTAGCAACTGTAGATTGCTTATATATAGATAGAATCTTAATTATAGCATATACGAAACCATTAAAAGATTACAAAATGAAAATTGTAGACATTTTTTTTTTATAAAACTCTTAGCGAAAGAGGGTAACGGGAATTAAAAATGTGTCTTCATAGAAATTCACGGAGACGTATGTTAAATAGATTCGCATTCAACTTAAGCAAACTGCTTACATAAAATGATTACAATACTAAACGATTTGTGCCTTTGAAATGCACAGCAAATAAATTGTATCGATAAAAGATAGGCAATCACATTATATTTCATGTATCAATGGATACAAAATATATAAATATATATATATATATATATATATATATATATATATATGGCTCCATCTATGTTTAAATGCGTAGGACTCGTGTTTAGACTGTGCAAGTGAATTTTCTACTTCCTCCGCAAATAATTCATCGGGATGCGTTAATATGGTAAAAAATAAAACAAAAGAAAAAACAAAAACTTCCCTCCTATCATTTTTCATTACGGTAATTTAGAGTGTACCGCAATCGCGAAAATATTGCCATCTCGAGCGCATTGGGCACCTGTGCGCGTACTCGCACGTGAGCGCGCACAGAGAGAGAGAGAGAGAGAGAGAGAGAGAGAGAGAGAGAGCTATTCATATCCCTGATATGGACGCGCGTTCGATTAACTGCGCACCAAGTGAAAATGATAATGGAGAGGCTTTTAATGGTGTTGATCGTTGCATTTGCCTCGGTTAAGACGTCGAGCATTGCACAAAGTACCTGATGCTCCCTTGATTATACAAACGCAATCTTCTGCAGTCGACTTGCCGACGAGCTTAATTGGCTCTGGTGAAATAAATGTTTACCGGGATCCACGGCCTCTTTTCCATTGCCGAGTATTAAGTTATCAGCAGCGTATTCATATCGGAACAATTGTCCGTAAACTCGTGGGGATAAAATGGCTTTAAAATCTAGATAACGTTCGACAATTTTATTTAATGAGACACATCGTTAACGAGATCGTGTGGGATTCGTGACTTTGAAGATCATTTAGGAACACTATCCTTATCACACTTCGATTATCGGATTATCCACAAAATTACATTGATTGCGCGAAACGTACAAAAGAAGACATAGTTTTTGCCTTTAAAAATGAATCCTCATTTCATACACGATAATTGCAATGTAAGGAATAATCAACTGTATGTGAATTATTATTATTTGAATCCCTTAAGTTGTATTGCTAATATATCAGTGTAATTTAATCGAAGCTTATTTATGCGATTAGCTGTAAATAATGTACTTCGATCGGTTTTTATAATCGTGTTAAAGTTCATGAAGCATTGCAATTTGCCGAAACAAAGGTATGTGAAGAAATAAAAGTATGTTCAAAGTTAAACTTAAAATTTACAATTTCAAACTATATTTATATATCATCATAAGCATATTTAAAATTGCACTACAATTGAATATTAATTATACTTAATTAAATATTATATCTAATTACGTGCCACTATTATCCGATACAGTGTATTTAATGTGTATTTGTGGTATCGTTTTACAATAAAGTTAATTGTATTCAATTGAATGCATTGAATACGTATTATTATTGTGTCAATTAGGGCGCATTTAATCGTATGAAATTCACATTTTCTAATTCAAATAGTAATTGTT